AAAGATTAGTTCTTGCCAGGCTGCTGGGGCCACCTGGTTTATTCCCCCAGAATAGGTTTCTGTCCCCGGGCTTCTCTCCCTGGTGAGAAATGAGTTCATCCATGCAGCCGCCCCACTCGGCTTGCTCTCACAGGCTGTCTGCTTTGTGCTTGCCTTCATTCTAAATATACAACAGAAATGACGGTTATGGAGGTCATAAGGGTGCACTGGTCTAAAACGTGTTTAGAGATCCTGCGAAAATAAAATAAATTCAAGTCAGAGACTAGGTGGGATTCCTTTTGGCCTCCCCAGCATTTGGCCCTGTCCTGGCACCTTGTGATCACCTTGTGATCACCCAGTGGTCTTTCTTGTGGTTTGAATGGGAGTGTTGTGGCGGGTGAGGGCGTGTTAAACTGTGTTGACGTTTCCCTGGGAGGGCCTTGTCCTTGCCCCCACTCTCAGCAACGTCCCATCCAGTGGCCAGTTACAGGAAGGTGGTTTCTTGCAGGGTTACGAGGCTGACAGTCCGTGTTCACAGTGAGGTCTCGCTCTGTCTAACCCAGGAGCTGCCTCCCCTTGGGGAATGGGTGCAGTCTGGTTCACCAGACATTAAAATGTCATGGCCCCGTGCTTTCTCCACAGAGTCGGCTCTCGGAATGTCCTATGTGGAGCTTTAGTAGAGGGATATTTTTTTTTCTGTCACCCATTATCCTGGTTTTCTGTGGTGATTGTAACGGATTGCTATCATCCTGATGGTTTAAAACAATGGAAATGTATTCTCTACGATAGAGGCTAAAGGTCTAAAATAAGTATCACTGGCTAAAATCAAGGTTGTGTGGCAGGACTGCATTCTCTCTGGAAGCTCTAGAGACAAATCCATTCCTTGCCTCTTCCAGATTTGGGTGGGTGCTAGCGTTCCTTGGCTTATGGCCACATCACTCTAGTCTTTAAGACCAGCATCTTCAAATATCTCTCTGTTCTGTGTTCACATCCCTTGCTCTTGTGTGTCATCAAATCTTCTTTTGACTCCTTATAAGGATACAGATGATTCCATTACCCACCTGGATAATCCAAGATAATTTCCCTGTATTAAAATCCATAATGTAATCTTTTTTTTTTTTTTGCCATGTCAAGTAATAGTGATGGATTCCAGGGACTGGGACTCAACATCTGTGGAGGCAATTGTTCAGCGTGCCATACCCATCCATGCACCAAGTCATTATCAAGGGCCAGATGCTGCAGGAGGGGTGACAGCCTTCATGGTGCTTGTGTACCAGAGGCATGTGCTTGTGGCCATTACATGTAATGAAATACAGAACACGTAAAGGCTGAACTGTTTAGTTGGGGAGAATTAAATCTCCCAGCAGAGGCGATTACCGAAGACTGTAACGATGCCATTTGAACTCCACCTTGAGAATCAGAACTTGGTGGGTAGGCATGGGAGGAGACAAAATCAAGTGGCGAAAGGAAAAGCAAGCCTTGCACAGGGGGGTGGGGGGGATGCGGTCACTGAATTGGCTGGAGCTTGGGCTGGAAAGGAGGAGGCTTGGCATCATCCCCCAAGATCCGTGGTTGTGTCTGCGTATCCCTTTTAATGTGAGCACCACAGCTCGTCCTTTGCCCAGGTCAATAGAATGAGAACACCATTAACCCTTTCACAGAGCAGCAATGGCCATCGCCAATTGGACTGGATCCTGCCTTCATTTTCTGTTGATGAGAAATGAGGTAATTAGGTGAGGTAGTTGACAGGATCAAATTACATTTTAGCCCCACGACAGGTACCAGCCCCAGGATTCCAGAATGCTATCATGATTTTGATAGACAGGCTTGAAAATTAGCGATAACTTAGTCCCACTTCCCAGTGAAAACGAACCAGACAACTTTCTGATATACGTACGATATAGTATTATGTCTAAATGTTATTTGTTATTGATTTAGTGTCATGCCCTTAGACCTGCCATCTTGTTCTAAGGCTTTATAGGATTGCGACACTCAGTCTACATTAATATTTCATGAGGCTCATAACTGCAGCTAAAAATATTTGCCGAAAGCCATGGCTAATACTGTAAAACAAGCAAACAAACAAAAACCGAGTTTGCGGCATTTGGGACAGGTTAGAGTGAGAAGCACAGACCCCTTCTCTAGCATGGGTTCCTTCTCCTATTGGTCAGGCCAATGGGCGAGGGAGAATCATGTTAACAACTGTGTTTCATTATTTTGGCCATTGCCTTCCAAAGACGATATTAATTAATTATATTTCTAAAGCAATTATGGCCCAAGAGCTGATCTCTACAAATGTTGTCATTTAATCTTCATAGCAATTGCCAAAGATTGGTGTGGTTATTGCCCCTGTTTAATAGATGAGAAAACAGAGGTGAAATAGCTTACTCCAGGTCACACCAAAACCCATTGCCAGCAAGTCGATTCCAACTCATATGAACTGATATGGCCAAGACCGGAAATCTTTACAGGAGTAGGCAGCCTCATCTTTCTCCTGGAGAGCGGCTGGTGGATTTGAACCGCCAATTTTGTAATTAACAGGCCAGTACGTAGCCCACAGCATCACTAGAGCTCCTTGGATAGTGCTGACTGTCATCAGCCTACACATATGGATCCCTGGTTGTATGTGGAATGTTTGACTTTCCTGTGTACAAAAGGCTAACAGGAACTTGCCTGAGAGATTCGACCATGCTATGCTCTGTGAGACATCAGTGTTCTTGGACCATTTGATAGAGATTTCTTTTCCCCAGTTTTTGTCAGCAGTCATCTTGCAAGAAACTCTGTTCCTGACTTTAAATGTTTGGAAAGTGAATGCTTCTGTGTATAGACCATAAACACCCAAATGTCCCGTCCTCCATGATTTGAAAGATGTAGCTGTTGGTGGTGGCATTTCCCCAGATGTGCAGTTACTAGTACACAAAATTTAGAGGTTCTTATTGTTTGCCTGGCACTCTGTCAAGCAGGTTACATCCATTTGTGTGTTTAATCCTCCCAGAGGCTCTATGAGGTGGCCCCTCTGACTCGCCCCTTTCTAGAGGTCTGGATCCAACCAGGGCGCTCCTTTGAAATGAAGGTGGTGAGCCTTCAGCTTGCTTGCTTTGGACATGCCAGCACAAAGATCCATCGTGAGAAAAAGGTGTCCAGATTGGTGAAGCAGGGGGTCAGCAAGAATGAGGGACACCCTCGGGGAGATGCATTGACACGAGAGCTGCAGCTCACCCAGACGTCCGGTCCTGAAGATGGGCCGGCAGAACTGGGCAGTGTTCCATTCTGTTATATATGTTGTCGAGAGTCAGAGCCAACTCGGTGACAGCTATTGTAAGAGCAACAATAGATTGGTGGAAACAGAGGCCAGCCGAGTTAGTGGAGTGAAGATCACCCAGTTGGGAGCCACCAGAGCTGGATTTGAACCCTGGAACTAAGTCTCGGGAAACATTTGACCAGTGTGCCCACTCCCTCCCCCGTGTTCTACTGGGCTTGGTGGTGGAGTGCAGGAGCACCTGTCCTCGCTGCTGCTCTGACCGTCCTCCCATGGAGCAGCTGCTGACCTCTTGGTCCTCCCGTGCTGCTCAGCCTTCCGCCTGCTGCTGACTCTTGCCAGTGACTGGCAGCGGATCTTAACAAAATTGCATGGTCACCTGTAGGCCATCTGCTCCTTGTCTTAATAGGATGCCATTACTCTCCTTGGCTGCATAGCACATATTGACAACTCTGGTTTTCGCTGTTGTCCCTAGCCTAGCCTGACTGACTGACTCAGCACGGCTCTGCCCTGGCAGAAGAAATCCAGCATAATTCCAGGTTGGGATCCTACAGAGACACCGACCGGGTGAATCCTAGCAATGGGGATGGTGACACTACGGAGGGTCTGAGCAGCTGACGTAGCCTGTGCTGTGGCTGGGAGCTGCTCATTAGCCTCTGAGAAGTCTATGCACCTACGTGAAAAAACGCTTGCTCTTAGTTTTAGACAGTGTTCTCTTGTGTGCGGAACCGTGTTCATCATCTGGGAGACGCACGGCAAGCATTTGGTGAATGCCCGAGAGAACGTTCCTTGGCTCCTTGCATTCCCTGGCATCCTACAAGGTTTCAAGGATGCTCTCTTTCCCTGCTGCTCCTGGGATTGCCTTTCCTCCCTCTGGCTCGTCCCTCCAGGCGCTCGGAACCCTTTTCCGCACCATTAGTCCAGGGAGTAGCTGGGGATGCTTTTAAAAGTGAGGGTAGGTGGGGTTAGGTCCCTCCATTTTAGTATAGGACTCTCCTCCAGGGAACCCTGGTGTCAGTTTGGATTGTGGGTTAACATGAGACGCTGGTCACCATGTATGATACAGTGAACCCTCGTTTATCGTGGTTAATCGGTTCTAGACCCCACCGTGATAAATGAAATTCCGCGAAGTAGGATTCCTTATATCCAAAAGTTTTACCTTTTCCTGGATGGTGAGCATCTTCCTCTGGCGCTTATTTTTATTGTCAGAAGGCTTAGAAGAAGCAGCTCGTTTAGGAGCCATCATAGGGCTTAGATAAAATTTCTTAAAAATCGCAAACAATTACAGTACACTGTACAAAAGCAAAAATGCATCTGATACGTAGCTCCGATACGTAGCGATGCAGACAGAAGTGTGTACAGTATGAGCCAATCAGTGGCAGTAATGACAGAGCATGCGCTGTTACACAAAAACTGCGATAGAGTGAAGCCGTGGAAGTCGAAGTGCGAAGTGGCGAGGGTTCACTGTATTCCTATGGGTATATGCACTGTATGTCCTAAGGGGATTTTTACGGCCACCCACTGGAAGCTGGGAATGTTGGGGAAGCGGGACTTATCCAAGCAAATGCAGTGGAAGTGGCTCCACATGTTTATCTCCCAACCAGGAATCACTTCTTGATTTTGTTCTGTTTTATTAAAATGCTGGGTTGCTAATAGAGCAGTTGGGGACATGACCTCCCCGACACTACGTTCCCAGCCGGAGTACGTCAGTGTCTGGGCAGGCTGGGCATTAAGTGATTTTTCTTTTGTTGGCATTTGACAGATGTGTCATCCCCACAACGAGCCTCTGCCAAGATGAAGCCGATCGAAGAAGGGGTGGAAGATGACGATGAGGTCTTTGAACCAGCGTCTCCAACCCCATTGAAAGGGCACCAGTTGCCTTGATGAGAGAGGATTCATGTTACCAAGACAAAGGTCGTCTTGAAGATATCCTGAAAAAGTACCAGCACCTTTTCTTAGCTTTGCGATTATTCAGCTCTGGGACGTCCAGACTGGCGGGGTCTGCGGGCCGGAGGGTGGGAAGGTCAAGGAGAAAGGCCGCTTCTCCGGCCCTTTTTCTTGCTCAGCTTTTTAACTAGTGGCTCGACCGAGCCTTCGGACTCATCCTCATTCTAGTTTGAGACAAGCCGCTCCACAGCGTCTTCTACATGTGTTCGTTTTAGCTGAAAAGATCGCGGTGCTCTTAGCGCACACACCTTTCATGCGTCTTTCGAAGTTGTGCTTCTCTTTCCTCTCGGTGTGTTCGCCGCACGGGGCAGATTGACCGAGCAATGCAAGTTGGAAATGGAGGTGGAGGTGATATTAAAAAGCCGGGCTCTCAAGCGCTCTTCCATTTCTGTATTTCTCTGTGTGGTGGCATTTTAGACAACGGAATTTGACTGGTTATTTTCCCCCCAAGGCCAGACACATGTTGGCACTGGATCACCTTACGGATGTGGGCCTCTGTAGATGGCTCGATAATGGGAAAAGCTCCTCCGAGCGGACTCACATTACCTTCTAGAAGTTCCCCCATTTAGAGACTACTCTGAAACCTGACGCAAGCAAGATAGCACAGGGGAGCAGCTCGGCATTGGCTGTCCACCTTCAGCTAAACTCAAGTTTCCGGTGGTGTTGAGCCATCTTGTCCCGCACCAACGGGGGTGGGAGATGCTGTGCAGAGGCTAGAGGGGGCTGCAGAAGCAGAGTCGAGGGTCCTGAGCACGGGGTCACGAAGACGGGGTCGCTGAGTGCTGAGCCGCATCCTTCAGCGTGTGTTCCCCAGCCTCCGTCTGGAATGCACTTCTTGCCAGAACCGTGCTGTCGCCAACCAGGGTAAGACTGTGAGTTTGGCTCAAAGCGCCCTGCTGCTGGTCAGTGTGACCATGGCACCTGGCCGTCCTGCACGCAGGTGAATGAAGCCCGTTGTTAGGAAATGCCTCATCCTGCCCCATTCACGTGTATTCTTATCTCACCCATCGGAGGGACTTCGAGTTGGTCCCTTGTTGGGTTAAATAGCTAAGGAAAGTTCTAAATGAAATGATTTTCGGGTCACCTGAGCCAAAAGAAGCATCTCTTGCCAAAACGTGATTTATGTGAGAGAAGTAAGGCAGCATAGGGGCACTCTGTTTGCCTAAATCCACTCTTCCTGGGCCATTTCGTTTTGTCATTCAACTTGAGTTACACTTACATGCTAGGCCACTCAGTGCCACATTTTACAGAAAGCTGGGCAACCCAGCTGCTGACGTGTCATTCCCTGTACAGGGAAAGGCGGATTTTGCATGACTATGCTAGTGGGCTCTTCAGTTGGCTACAGATGGAACTTATTGTTGAGAAAACGGAGCTCGAGGCGTGGGTGACTTCGTCTTGCTTCTCAGGTTGAAGGATCTCTTTCTGTACCTAAGCACTCCGCTGCGACTCTCCTGTAACTGGGGAACTGTTTCCTCCTCGCCCTTAGCCCCAAAAAAGCGCAGCTCACTGCGTTGACGGCAACAGAAGACCAGCTTGCCCTCTCTTACAGACCTAGTCTCCCAGATCGCACCGCAGCCTAATGAGCCCGCACACGCTGCCCAGACCGGGCAGTTACTGTAGATGCTGCGGAGGCCCTATTTCTTACTTTCTTTATTTAGGTTTGAGGGGACTTTATTGTAAAGCGTAACACACCGGGAGCACAGGCATGGGTACTTTGTCGTTCCTTTGTGAGTGGGGCTGGTTTCAGGGGCAAATTCCGCCGCTGCCAACTACACATAACACACAAACAGAATATGGAATAAGACAGAAACATCCGCTTCTCTAGCAATTGCAAAGAACACTTAGGTAACCGTCTCCCAGGACAAAAGAAAGTCATTGTCAGTGTCCCAGCTCCTCCCTCTTCCCGAAGACAACGGCCATCCGTACACCTGACTGTCACGTCTGTCTCGCCCACCGTGGTTGAGCCGCACGCGAATGGAGCCGTGTGCCTGCCGTGTTTGGGGATTGTGTGGCAGCTGCTAGCCACAAGGTCAGCGGTGTGAGCCGTCTTTCTGAATGCATAAAGTTCTCATGTCCCGTCCCATCTTTGCGCTCCTTTCCCTCTGTCAACCGCCGAGAGCAGAGAGGCTCCCCTGTCAGGACCCACTTGGACAGGTGTGGGGGTTCTTTCTCCGTAGCGCTGGGAACAAACTGTCTCAAAGGCACACCGTTCACACGAAGCGATGCATATCATTCACTGCTCCGTGAAACGTGTGCCTGGATCAGGGAAGATTGCAATCTCGGGAGGAGAAATCTTGAAAGAACCACTTTGCCTGAATGGGAAACATGAAGCGATGCTGTACTTCTAGGAGAGAGGATGGGCCCCGGAGAGGGGAGCCAAGAGCCATGGAGCAGGCCTCCCACGTCGTTGGCTCGGTAGCTAACGAGCAGATAAGGAAACAGAAAAGAGTTTGAAGTGTCAGATCTCCTGCAGATGACGGAAAATCCACCATGCAAATGAACAGATATCTCTTTGTGTAACACACACTCGCGTAGATCTGAAAAACACGCTTGTCCCGAATAAGATTCTTGGCCTGCTTTCTTCTTTTTTTCAGCATTCACTTAACTGTGTCATCAAGGATCAGAAATACTGCAAAACGATTTCTTTTGTCCCCCAGTTCTATTACCTTAAGTCAATTGGGTTGGGACATTCTTTAATGGAACTTGTGTGTCTTTTATAATAGGTTGAAAACCTTCATCAAAATCTGCATTTATTAAGACAATAGCATATTGCATCGATCCTAAAGAATGTCCATGAATCTTAAATGAGTAATGTTGGGTCCTCTATAATTGCTCTTCCTTTACCACCCTCTGCTTTATGGAGCCATTTCTGCATCTGCTTCGCCCTCTCATAGTTGATTGGACAACTGTGCGCTGTGCCGTCAACAGCCTGGGCACTGGAAGATGTCTCTCTTGCGTCTCATTCTCTACCTGTCTGAAGCCTTTTTTGCTTTTATGGTTTAGAGCTGCCAGCTCCTGTGTTAAGTTGGGTTTTCCAGAGGAGCGAAACCAGGGACACATACATGTAGGTAGACCCAGTCCAGCTCAAGTCTTTGGATCAAATGTTAACTGGAGCCCTTTCCTGATTTACACCACTCACTGCTGACCAATAAATGAGGAAATAGGAAGATGAAGCAGGAGGTTGGGAAGACTGAGTCAAGGGGATGCATGGCATGCTGCCAACCGCTCCCAGGGCTGACAGGTCACGTGACCGACTGCCTAAGTCTCGCGGGACTAGACACAAGATTCAGGCCAACAAAAAGGAAGAAGGGATAGAGTCAATTCTCCAAAGGCTATATAAAATAGGCCAAGGAGACGTCCGCAGGCTGAGACTGGCATCTTATGAGGGATGCTGTACTGCCCCACTCCTGAGGGTCTGGCCCAGCAAAGTTGACACAGCGCCCAACACTCAAGATTCCTGTCTCCTGGGTGGCAGCATAGCCTCCCAAACAGAGCCGCCTGGATGTTGGGAAAACCTGTAGGATTAGTCGATGTGTTTTATATACTTTACCCTGTCTCCAGTGCCGCCAGGTAGGGACTAAACTCTTAACTGAAAATGTCATGCTAATGAACAGTGACTACTGGCCAAACACTTGTGTATGCAGGTCACTTCTTCCCGGCAAGATGTTGGACACTCCCTGGGGACCCCTGGGAGCAGATCCAAAAACCCATCTAGTGTTTTCCTCCATTTCCTGAGCAGTTCCCAATGCTGCTCTCCAGAAACCTCTGCCTCGGCCCCACCTTGCTCTCCTCTCCTTTCCCTCTTCCCAACCCTGGATTCCCAACTCCTTTTGCTGATGCTTCCCAAGGAGGATAATGAGACATTCCCCCTACTCAATTCAAATTCATGAGGATTGGAATGGTAAAATGCTGTGTGGGGCATGGTTACTATACTTGGTTTCTGATCTTTTTTTTCCCTCACTGTAAGCCATAGTTTGATTGTTGCAGCACTCACAGAATGCCTTGTGTATAATGATATATTGTAGAACTCCTAAATTTAAGAAACCTGCTTCTCATTACCGATTTTTCTATTTTACTTGCAATCTCATTTTAAAGTAAAAGATATGGAGTGCGTTATACAGACACATTATAGGAATCTCTTTCTTTCTGATTTCAAGTGCCATTTACATTGACAACATTGCTTTATAATAAAGACACATTTTGTCCAAATAGAGCCTTACTCTTTAAAATATCTTTATGTATTGTCATTTGGTCAAATACATTTTGTATTTCAGAACTGTGCTTTTTTTCATTTCACTCATCTAACTGATTTGCTGTGAGTCCATTCCCAAAGGTTCAGAGAAAGGAAAATTCATAAAGGAAGGTTTGTATGAATGGGGAGACCCGATAGAGGCATTTAGCTGCTAAGCACAGTGGGTAGGACTGCTCCTACCTGGGAGCAGTGGGTGGGACTGCAAGGCAGTTGGTACAGAGGGGGGGTTGTTGTCAAGCTTTATTATCTTTCCTGGAGAACAAGTAACCTTGGCAGGTAAGTTCCTTCCACTCCCTGACCAGGTGTGAGTGCAGAAGCCAGGGTGGGTGGCCTCTAAGAAATGCACTGCCTTCCAGGTGGTTCTGACTCACCGCCTTCCTACAGTTCAGGACAGACGTGCCCTGCAGTGCAAGTGGTGCTTTCAACTGTGGGCCATGCAGGTGGCGGCCCAGCACGGAGCCCACGACACCACTGGAGCACCTTGTAGGTGGGAGTTGCCAGCAGAACACCCAATTAGATGAACTTACTTCAGGCTGGGGGAAAAAAAGCATTAAACCAGGATATAATGCACCATTCACTTTCCAATTCTTACCTTTTGTTAAATTACTGTTTGTTTTATGGTATGTGTATACAGGTAGGTAGGTACAGAGACATTCCATTGTGTAACACTCAGGAAAACGAGATAATGTAAATACAAATAATAAAAATCCATCATCCAAAGATAAATAATAACTATACTAACTTAAGCAAATATTCTAAAGCTGGATTATATGAAGAAGAATGCAGCAGCACAATTAGAGAAAGGCTTATTAACTACCTGTAATTTGCAGATGATTTACCCTTGCTTGCAGAGTGAGGAGGACTTGAAGCACTTACTGATGAAGATCAAGAATTGCAGCCTTAGCAGATGGACATTGGGCCTCCACTCAAGTACTCCCTCAACGCAAGAATACTTTGTTCTAATAACCCAGCACTCTGTGATGCTCACCTTCCCTGACATGATCATTGAAGACAAAATAGGCATATAAGCAAATGTGAAGAAAGCTGATGGTGCCTGGCTATCAAAAGATATAGAGCCTGGGGTCTTAAATGCTTAAAGATAAACAAGCGGCCATCCAGCTCAGAAGCAACAAAGCCCACATGGAAGAAGCACACCAGCCTGTGTGATCACGAGGTGTCAGTGGGATCAGGTATCTGGCAACAAAGACCCAAAACAAAAAATCATATCAGTGGGAATGAGCGGGAGGGCAGAGTGGAGACCCAAAGCCCATTTGTAGACAATTGGACATCCCCTTACAGAAGGGTCACAAGGAATAGACGAGCCAGTTAGGGTGTAGTATGGCACCAACAAAACATACAACTTTCCTCTAGTTCTTTAATGCTTCCTCCCCCCAGCCCCCTATCATGACCCTAATTCTACCTTACTAATCTGACTAGACCAGAACATGTACACTGTTATAGATAACAGGTTGCAACAGAGGGAATCCAGGACAGATAAACCCCTCAGGACCAATAATGAGAGTAGCAATACCAGGGTGAGGGGGGAGAAAGGGGGAACTGATCATAATGATTGACACCCTTCTGGTTGGATAGACAACAAAAGTGAGTGAAGGAGGGAGACAGCGGTCATTGTAAGACACGAAAAAAACAATTTGTAAATTATCAAAGGTCCATGAGGGAGAGGGAAAATTAGTTGAGAACAAGGGCTCAAGTAGAAAGAAAATGTTTTGAAAATGATGATGGCAACATACATGCAAATGTGCTTGACACAATGGATATATGTACCGTGTTTCCCTGAAAGTAAGACATCCCCCCAAAATAAGACTTACCTACAGTTTTGCCTCTCGCTGAATTTTAAGGCACCCCCCCCCGAAAATAAGACCTCCCCGAAAACAAGGCCCCCCCAAAGCTACCATAACTCTGGACTCTGGACCGTAGTGGCGGGCGCCACCGCGCAGCTCGCTGTTGGCCGCAGCGCAGCCGGAGCAGACAGGAAGTGCGAGGTCTCTTTTAATAAAACAATATACCATATTCTTCATAGAAAAATAAGACATGCCCTGAAAATAAGACCTAGCGCATCTTTGGGAGCAAAAATAAATATAAGACTGTCTTATTTTCGGGGAAACGGTATATTTTGTGATAAGAGCTGTATGAACCCCCAATCAAACGATTTAAAAAAGAAGAATTGCAGCCTTGAGTATGAATTACAACTCAGTGTAAAGACTAAAAGTCCTCACGTCTGAATGGATAGGCAACATCATGCTTGAGGAAGGGTTGACGTTGTCAAGGGTTTTGTCTTGCTTGGGTCCCTAGTGGTCACAGCAGCAGCAGTCGAGGGAACAAAGGCGGTGTTGCGTTGAGTCGATCTGCTGCACACGGCCTCCTTACTTTGAGGACTAAGGCGTGCCTGACCCCAGCCATGGTATTTTTCAGTCGCCTGAGATGCGTGTGAAAGTCGGATGTTGAATAAGGAAGACCGAAGGAGACACGGTACGTGTTAATTATGGTGCTGGTGAAAAATATTGAAAAGTACCGGAGGCTGCCCAAAGAACAAACAAAATGTGTCTTGGAAGAAGTACAGCCAGAAGACTGGTTCGTAGACTTTGGGCATGTTGGCAGCAGAGACCAGTCCCTGGAGAAAGGAGTCACGCTGGGTGAGGTAGCGGGCAGTGAACAGGGGAGGCCCTCGAAGAGATGGGCTGACCCCGTGGCCACAACCGTGGGCTGCAGCACGGGCACCGTTGTGAGGATGGTGCTGGACTAGGCAGCGTTTCGTTCTGTTGTGCACTGGGTCGCGATGTGTCGATCCACACACAGGCACCTGCCACCAACAACATATGAACTTATTTAGTTGCATATCCTTCTGGTTTGGTAACTTCTTTTCCCTACTCCGAGTCACTAGTGTTTCTACACACACTGGATGCTTTTCTGAAGCCACAAGACTACAAAACCCTCTACCATCAAGTCAATTCCACCCCATAGCCACCTTCTTTAGGATTTCAGAGACTAAGTCTTTAGGGAACAGACTTTCCCTGACTCCTCTTTCTCTGGACACCAAGCTGGCAGTTAGCAGCCCACCCTCTAGCCCTGCGTGCCAGCGGGGTTCCTGATGTGGTGGAGTGTGGCTCGTTTCAACGTCTAGTGACTCCACGTGACTGAGCACACAAGCTCCATGGAGTTTTCTAGGCTGAAACCTATGGGAACAGATGACCGTGGCTGCCTCCTGTCAAGCTGTTTGAACCACCAACCCTCCAGTTAGCAAGTAAGCCCCGAACAACTGTGCCCCAGAGCTCTTTGAACAAAACCGGACTAACGGCTATTGGATTTTTCACCCCCACACACCTGTAAGACAAAGAATGTCAGCTTTACATAAGAATGTTCTGGATGAAGCAGTACAAATCGTTTGTTTTATTACATCTTGACCCTTTAATACTTGTCTTTTATTTTGAAAATGAAGTGCTTCATCTTCATTATTTATTAAAGATTTTGGTTGG